ACAGCTCATCTCTCTTCCACATGGCATCATTTGGGGTGGCTCAGTTGGGGCTGGAGAATCCAATTCCAAGATGGTTCATTCACATGGCTAGCAAAATTGGTGCTGGCTGTTGGTTCTTCTCTACATGGACATCTCCAAAGGGTAGCTTGGACTTCCTCATACCATGGTGGCTGCATTCCAAGAGCAAGTATCCCAAGAGACAGGAAGTGGAGGCTTCCAGTTTCGTAAGATTTAAGCCCCAAAATTAGCATAGCATCATTTCCACCATAGTCTACTGATTAAGCAGTCATGGAGCTCAGATTCAAGAGAAGAATAGACCCTACTCCTTTATGAGAAGAGGGTCAAAGTATTATGGATATTTACAAACCACCTCACTATACTCTCTGGACATAAATTACTTACATTTTTCCCACTTGGGAAATTTATTCTTCTTGCAAGATTCTCCATTAAAAGTCCCATCCCTTTACAACATCAGGCTCTGGATCTAGGATCTCATCATCTAAATCAGATCCACGTGCAAATGAGACCTCTCAAGTGCAGATTCTCAAGTGTAGTAGCTCCTTGAGTGTAGTTCTTCTCAATCTGAAGATCTGTAAACTAAAGAAAAACATTGTCTGCTCCCCACATACCCAACATACAATGGTGGGACAGGCATAGGATAATTTACAGATACACCTGTTCAAAAGGGAGCAGTGACTGGTCTGTAGAAATTCTGAAATCCAGCTGGGCACATGTTGCCAGTTCCTTAATTATTAGATCCAATACTACTTTCCTGGGGTTGTTTTCCATGGGTCTTGGTTTTGTCTCCTGAATCATCCTTCCTTTTCCATGAAAACTGAGATTGCTTTCTTGGTCTTCATCCCATCTGTAAAAGGTTTGGGTCTGAAAGGATTCTTTTCATTTTGTACCATTTCTGTCCCTTTGAGTCTGAGCTGGCGATGCTTCCACCAGAATGACTCTCTTGGAAACTTGAGGGGTTTCCTATGGATGCTATTGAGATTTCCTTCATTAGACAAAACCACACCTTGAACCTTCTGAAGCTAAGCCCTTCTCTACTTTGGGCTTCCTGTATGGCTGCTTTGAGACAATGCCCTTGAGATTCTTAAAAAACTTACCATTTAAGGGAGAGAATCTGCAAAAGTGGCCCTTGAGATTCTTCAAGGGCCTTTTGGTCAGAAAGAGCATGAAGCATATATAGTCTTAAATCATTCTGGCCCCTTAACAAAATATTTTATTGCCCCATTCTGGATTTGACCCTTTCTTAATTTAGAATTGTTTGTCTTCTGGAAGGACTAGAAATGAGAAGCACTTTATTTGTGGACTCTGTGAGTCCTGGGCTTATTTTTTATTTGGGTTTTTGTTTTTGTTTTTTAAGCTCATCTCATTTTGCATTTTTGTCATAGGCAGTAAGAAGCCACCTGCACTTTCATTACTTTTGTCTGAAAATCTCTAGCTATTTCACTGAGTCCACCATGTACATTTACTTCCTGGTTCCAGGTTACTGCAGGTGACAGTTTGTCGAACTCTACATCACTACGTAGCAAGTGTCTCCCATCCTCCATCTTCCAGTAAGGTTTTCCTCACTTGCCTTAAGCTCTCCCCTGGCAGCCTCCTCAAAACCTGTAGGTGTCCATTCTCAAGTTTCTCAAGAAGCATTGTCAGACTGGACTAATAGGGATAAGAGATCGTACAAAATGAAAAGAATCCTTTGACCCCCAACCTTTTATAGGCTTCTCTTCAAGCCCCTTTATGCTTTCACCCATACCCTTTTTGGGGCCCTTTATTGCTTTTTTCCGGTACCACAATCCCTTTCAGTAATCTTTTGCTGCATAGCAAACCACTACCAGACTTCATGGCTTAAAACAACAATGTGGGCAGGGCGAGGTGGCAATCACTTGCGTCATTCCATGCAGTGTCAGCTGAAGTGGCTTGACTAGGATCAGAGGACCCCCTTCCACCATATGGCTGACAAGCTGGTTTTGGCTGTTGATTTCTCTCCACATAGACCTCACCACAGGGTGGCTTTGCCTCTTCACACATGGTAGTTGGGTTCTAAGAGTGAATGTCCCAAGAAAGAGGACATGGAAGCTGTCATTTTCTTAGTTAAGCCCTGGGCCCAGAAACTGGTACAGTGTCATTTCTACATAGTCTGTTGGTCAAGTATCACAGAGATCGATGGAGGGGATGTCAAAGGTTTGGGAGCCGTGTTTTTATTTATTTAAGTTTTTGTTGTTGTTGGGGTGGGGGGAACCACTTTTTTAAACTGCCACGGTCTTTTAAAGGTTTTATAGCTTAGGGGTGTCTGGGTGGCTCAGTCGGTAAAGTGTCTGCCTTCTGCTCAGGTCATGATCTTAGAGTCATGGGATTGAGCCCCGCGTCAGGCTCCCTACTCAGCAGGGAGTCTGCTGGAGATTTCTCTCCCTCTCCCGTACTCATGCTCGCTCACTCTCTCAAATAAACAAGTAAATCTTTAAAAAATAAATAAATAAAGGTTTTATAGTTTGCCTTTTATATTTCACCCTTTAATCCATGTAGAATTTCTTTTTTGTAGTTATCACTGGACTGGTTATATTTTTTCCTTTTCATGTGTTTTAATTAAGGAAAATTTATGTGCAGTGAAATGTACATATCTTAATGTACAATTAGATGAGTTTTAATCTGTGCAAGCACCATGTAACCACAACCCCAGTCAAGATAAAAATCATGTCTACCACCCTTAGAAGTTACATCATGCCTCCTTACAGTCAGCCTTCTCACCTACCTTTTTTTTTTTTTTAAAGATTTTATTTATTTATTTGTCAGAGAGAGAGACCGCATGCACAAACAAGGGAAGGGGCAGGCAGAGCAAGCAGAGGGAGAAGCAGACTCCCTGCTAAGCAGGGAGCCTGATGCGGGACTCGATCCCAGGACCCTGGGATCATGACCTGAGCCGAAGGCAGTCGCTTAACTGACTGAGCCACCCAGGCATCCCTGTCCTACCTTTATTCTGATTTCTATTCCTATAGATTAGACTTCCTTGTGCTTGAACTTAATATATAAATGGAATTATACTCTATGTACCTTTTGTGTCTGGTTTCTTTGACTAAAGATAGTGTTTTTGAGAAGCACCCTATCAATAGTTCATTCTTTTGTACTGCTAAGTGCTATTCCAATAAATGCATATACCACAATTCGTATATGTATTCTCTTGTTGACAGACATTTGGGTTGGTTCTAGTTTTAGGCTGTTATGACTAAGTTGCTATGAACATTCTTATGGGTGTCTTCTCATAGATCTAGGTCTTCGTTTATTTTAACTACTCTTCTTATCTCTTGGAGTTCCTACATTTTTACTTGTTTTGTTTTCAGTGAAAGAGTCATATCATGACATGCAAGTCCTAGCTATTTTTTTTTTAAGATTATTTATTTATTTATTTGAGAGAGCGAGAATGAGAGAGAGAGAGCACACATGAGAGGGGGGAGGATCGGAGGGAGAAGCAGACTCCCCGCCGAGCGGGGAGCCCGATGCGGGACTCGATCCCGGGACTCCAGGATCATGACCTGAGCCGAAGGCAGTCGCTTAACCGACTGAGCCACACAGGTGCCCAAGTCCTAGCTATTTCTTAACGGACGTCACCCAATCCTTTCATTAGATCTGCCTTTACACCCATCTCCAGAGGTACCTGCCCATTCTTCACTCTTTTGTGAATTATAAGATGAAACAGCTGTGTTCTCATCTTTGCCCATTTTTGGTTAAGGATTCGGCTTTCTTGGGTCTACTCAGTCAATTGCTACTTTGCTTATCTGCTCTCCAGCTTCCAAAATTTTAAGCTGTCTCCTTTATTGTGTGACTCATTTTGGAGGATTTTAGGAGAGAACAGAATTGAATGTGTATTTCAGTTCATCTTGCCTACCGTTTACTTTTCCCTTCTTTCTTTTCCGCCTCTCACCTTCCACATCCCGCCTTTCTCTTACTGTTTTCCATTTCCTTCTCTCTATCTCGCTTTCCCTTCGAATCAGGTGAGGAGTCCTCAGACAGCATGTTGCACAGCTTCCTCACTTAACAGAGGCTAAAGCTGAAGCCCGCTGGATGAGGACACAGTCCGTCCACAGCCAACACGGCTACCGCTCTTAGCTTTTTTGCCTTTAAGAGCAAGAAAGACCTTTTGCCCACCTGTTCCTCCTTCAGCAGTGTGAGAAAGCAGAGTACCCTGCTCAAGTAGGTCCTAGAAGGCACATCAGAAGAGAGGATGTCATAGCTGAGCAGGCTGCTGTGGGTCCTCTCCGGAGACCAAGGAAGCACCTCTGTTGCAGACCGCCTGGTACTCCCGCGCCCCCTCTGTCCCCCACCCAGCAGCATGCCAGCTAGGGGCTACCGTAGGAGAGTGCCCAACCGGCCGACAGGGGAAACTGCTGAAACACACAACACTCTCTGGATGGGCCCCTCCGGCCCTTTCTGTGGTTTTCTTCATTCCCATGTTTGTCTATTTTACTACTTTCTTTGGGCCTGGGTGTTAATGCAGAAGATAACAAAGGGACTCCAAGGCCCAGAACAGAAACCAGGTGACCCGTGGTGTGACCATTCTAAGTACAAGGCCAAACACACACACATACACACTCCGGCTAACATTGCCATGGCCCCTACCACTCCTTACACACGTAATATGAGATACAAAGACTGTGTGAGGTGACCGAGTCCTGAACATGAAAGGACATACATCTGGGGAATTGTTTAGATTCCCTTTTCAGTGCATAGAAGACAAAGTACAAGTTCTGTGCGTTGGCTTTTGGTCTGGGCTGTCCGTCCAGGAGGCTGTGTTCCCAGAGCCTTTGGTCATGCAATTTGGGCTGGTTGCAGCTGGACACAGCCACCCTCTGCCCCCTCCCAGGGTTTCACCAGCCTAGCAGCTGAGAATCCTGTAGGGATCAGAGCCCAGAGTGTGTGAGACAGAAGAGAGCACTGTTCTGTCACTTCTGTACCCCGGACGCTCTTTAAGCGGCTTTGACTCTTTGTCTCTGCAGTTTGTATTTACTTGAACAAGAATGGCAGCCCAGGCCCCCACTTAGATAAGAAGAAGGTCCAGCTGCTCCCTGACCATTTTGGGCCAGCCCGCGCCTCCGTGGTGCTGCAGCAGGCTGTCCAGGCTTGCATCGACTGTGCGTACCATCAGAAAACCGTCTTCAGCTTCCTGAAACAGGGCCACGGCGGTGAAGTGATCTCAGGTAAGCACCCTGGGGCTGATGTGGCCTCCTAGCCAGGGGGGGCAGGCCTTCTCCACTGGCTGATTTCTGGCAAGGCCTCCTGGTTCCTATTTCACGCCTACAGGCTCTGGAGAAATGGGAAGGGATTCCGTTCCGCCGAGAGTCCTCCTTTTCAACTCCCAGAACCCCTCTGAGCCTTATGCACACCTCTGCCAAATAGAATACCCACACAGACTCTGCTTAACCAAGCCTCTAGGCAGACTCCTCTCCTGTCTGCCTGCTCGGCCTCTGCATACAGGAAGTAGATGTGTGTTGCTGTAAAGGCATTCCAGAAGAAAGAATCCAGAGGGCCTACACTGTGGCAACAGGAGCTTCTCCAGACTGCCACAGCCTCCCACGTGGCCTTGGGGGACCACGGGACTCTTGTCATGTTCTTCTCACTCCTCAGCTGCCTGGTCCTAAGCCAGCCCTGTTACAAGGAAGTTGAATCCCAGGGCAGAGTGGGAAAAACCATTCCCTCTCTGTCTCTTCTGCTCTGTCTGATTCAACTAGACCGTGTTCTGTATTTTTTGTTTTCACTGAGAATATTCACTTTTCCTGTTGTGCCATGGTTCTGTTTCAGTGTTCCCAAAACCAGAACCCCACTCCTTACCTACCAAACCTATGAAGACTTGACCTGGAGCCTTTCAGTCTCAACTGCACGATACTGCATAGTCTCCCACCCCTTCCCTCTAACAAGTTGCAATATCCAGCCTCAGGAGAGCCAGCTGACTTGGCAGACCCCAGGAGTACCTGTATTCTTGTAGAAGACCCCATAAGTAACTGTATTTTGTTAGCACACCTTTAGTGAGCCTTTATTATATGTCAGAGGTTATTTCTAGACCCTGGCCAGGGGAGGGGGAGGACAGATGACAGGGGAGAGGGGTTCTAATGTGTGAGAAATGCACACAGGGTAGTGGGAGAGCCCAGGTGAGGGAGCAGTTGGCTGTGTGGAGGATGAGGGCAGGCATGGAAGGCATTGTTCTAGACGGCTGAGGACTGCGGGGAAATCAAGCCTTCCTTTCCTTCTGAGGCCGAGGCTTCTGTGCAGTAGTCTTCGGGGACCCGCCCTGCTTTGCTGCCTCTGTGGAGTTGCTGTCACCCACAACTTTTCTAGGGTTCTTCTTGTGCCCTGAAACTGGATCCTGGGAATGGCCTATCTCCCCATTTCCTTGCTGCCCTCAGAGACAAATGCAAAGGCTTTCTGCTTTGTAAGGATTATACAGATACTTCTTGAATAGAAATAGATAGGGAGTAAAATAAAACCAAGCATGGAATGGTTCCAAATGTTGCTGAAACTCTAGTGCCCTCCTACAGATCAGATCGTGCACCTAAAGCGTTGCTGGCAACAGCTGTATTCTCCTCGTCTGCCCAGTTTCTCTGTTCTTGGGCAGTTCTTATGGAAAGAGAACCCGAAATGAGCAGATTTCCTGGAGGAAGCCCAGCCAACTGATGGAGCAGATAGAGTTACGTTCACAGTTGTTTTCACAAGTTGAGTAAAATCACTTCAGAGCCCAGGTGCACCAGACCTGGCCTGGCCACTCCCATTTCAGCAAGCCCTTTGGAGTTGGAGGCAAAAATCAAACCCTTGGAAGGGGAAGGGAGGGGAAGGGAGGGGAAGGGAGGGAGGGAAAAACCCCGGGCACTGCTTGCTTTGTGTAACCAGGTAAGCGGGAGGCTGGGCTCCTCCTGCCCCTCGCTGCCCGGCACTGCCAGGCTGACGTGCTCGGCCCTGTTTCCTTCATTCCACAGCCGTGTTTGACCGTGAACAGCACACTCTCAACCTCCCAGCCGTCAACAGCATCACCTACGTCCTGCGCTTCCTGGAGAAACTCTGCCACAACCTTCGCAGTGACAATCTGTTTGGCAACCAGCCCTTTCCACAGGCTCCCTTGCCACTCACCGCCCCCGGCTACGGCCACAGCCACGACAGGTACCTACCAGGTAGGAGCTGGGATGGGGCCTGGGCCAAGGAGGGGGCACAGGGCTGGTCGCGTGCCGGCCGGGGCCCGGGCCGGCCCTCACACCTGCCAGCCCGGCCGCCACGCTCCAGAGATCTGGCTTTGCGTCCCTCGCCTTGGCCGCGGCGCCCGGGACTCCTCGGTCCCTTCCCGACTTTGCCCTCTCCGGCGTTTTGTCTCCTCTCTCTAGGGTTAACCTTCTGTCCTCTGGATGTTTATCCCTAGAAAACGGTGGTTCACAATTCCCTTTCTGAGCCCCACGCGGCCTGGGGGGCCACCCCGAAGTCACAGCACCCCTCCCCCAGGTGAAGCCAGCAGCAAACGCCTAAGGGAGCTCTCCCTTGCCAACGGGAAGGTTTAGTCTCAGGCCACAGGTTGGGAAATGTGCTCCCCGGTGATGGGCCGTCCGCTCTTTCCACTCTTTCCTTTGGCGCATGGCCCTAGCTCCTCCAGCACTGCTCGTCTAGCAAGTCGATTCAGGCTCCTGCCGTGGGCAGCCCAAGCTGGAAAATAGCTCTCTCAGTTAGCAGAGCAGACCCGCAGCGGGAAAGCGGAGGCCGCGTGGCCGGGGCCGGAACAGTGACTAAGCACTTCCGAGAGAGGTTGTGGAGGGAAGGGAACTGAGCGGTGCTCATCTGGGGCCCGGGACCCAGCATGACAGGGAGGGGAGCAGAGCTCGGCCCCACACGTAGCAAGTAGGTCGTGGAGAGAGAGGGACCTCGTCCTGGGCAGAGGAGCGGAGAGCTGGTGCGGTCAGCGGGCCGTGCTGTCCGTCGCCGAGGGAGCCGAAGTCTGAAAGGTGCCCCTTCTGACCTGCACGAGTCTTGTTCCCACACTGCCTCCCCCAGCGTCTTTTTATCATTCTCTTAACTCACTCCTGATAAAAGTGCCACTTCTCGAGAAGGTGCCTGCTCACCCAGCGCCCCAGCCCTGCCTCCATCTAGACCTCTGCACCCCAATGAGCATTGCTCCTATGACTTGCGTGCAGGGCAAAAAGACAACCTGAATTTCAAATACTCCTTGGGAGGGCCAGACCGGCCTGATCCCTGCAGACATGTCTGTGCCCCCTCACTGCTCCATTTCTTGGGAGGGAACTTCTTCTCTAACCTGCTCTCCTGCTTGCTTTCATCATCAGAATCTGAGAGCAGAAAAAAATGTTCTTAGCATGCTTCACTCGGGGACTGGGCTGGGCATGGTGGCGGTGGGGCAGACAAAGGCAGCTGGTTAAATGTCCCTAGCTGTTGGCCTTCAGGAACTCTGAACTGCACTCAGTAATGAAAGTGAGGCCTCCCTGAGCTTCTGCAGGAATGGACACATGAGAGGGGGTCGTGTACACTTAGGCTAGCTGCTAGTCTAGAGAGAGATTTCTCCAAGAACCAGGAACCCAGAATTCTTCAGTGGAGTGGCAGCATTAAGAACGAAGCGAATCAAACTAGTAGCAGCGGGCCGAGACTGGCAGGGATGTGCGCACTGGGCTTGCGGTCACAGAGGGAGTTTGGAATTGAGGCCTGAGGTTTCCTGGGAATTCTGTTCCACTTTGCATCTCTCTGATTCAGCTGCCAGATAGGAGGAAGCAAGCTTTAGCCACTCTGCCCTCTTGCCTCACCAACAAGAGACAAAGACCAGGTTATCACATCCCACCATTGGCTGCCCCTCTTCCTACCCTCATTTTCAGACAGATTCAGCCAACGCTCTGGGCCTTCCTGTGCTCACTCTCTAACTTCTGTGTCCCTTCCTGGGTGCTTAGCCACTTGGCTGCTCTCACCCCAGTTTCTGTTTGCTTCCCTGAAGTGAGCATTCTAATTGTGCCCAGACAAGCCAGAGCTTTGCCTAGATTTCTCACTCCTCTGTGCTGCTTCACTTATCGTTCCCACCTGCTTACCTACCTGCCTGCCTTCCTGACTCTTTGCTCCACCTCTGATCATCTGTCATTTCCTGATTACTTACTCCCGCCTCTGCCAAAGAGTCTGATCTGCACAGGGCTGTCTTTTGCTTTGCCCCTTGGATCTGGGGTTTCTCACTCCCACCCTTCTGCCCAGCTACACACTTCTGCTAGTTCAACATCCAAAGCTACCACCTCTCTTATCTAGGTACTTAAGGAGCCTTCCCATCCCCTGCCCTGCCGCTTGTCTCCACACTACCCTAGCCCTTAGGGTCTTGGCCTGACTGACCATGCACTTCTGGTATAGCAGATAAGTCATCAAATGCAGATCCCATTAGACTTCCTCACCTGAGGTGAGACTTGACTTTTTTCCTCCAGTGTTTTATTTTGAAAAACTTAAAACCTACAGAAAAGTTGTACAGATAGTGCAGTGAGCAACCATGCACTCTTCATCTAGATTTACCACTTCACCTTTTGCAATATTTACTATACCTGTTCTCTAAGTCTATGTATTTTTATTTACTGAACCATTTGAGAGTTAACTGCAGATGAGAGACTTGATCCTTAATAAACTTCCCTATGTGTCTCCTAGGAACAGGGAACACAATACTATTCTCGCACTCAAGAAATTTAACATTAATAAAATCTACCAGCTGATATATATAGGCCATATCAAGTTTCCCCAGTTGTCCCAATAATGTCGTTTTAGCTGCTTTTTTCCCCTGATCCAAGATCCAGTGAAGGACCATCCATTATATGTAGTTGTTCTATCTCTTTACTTCACTTTTTCAGCAGCCACTTCTCAGACTTCGTTTTCTACCTTCCATCCCATGCCATGGGCATTTTGGAAAGTGCAGGCCGGCTGTCAGACACTCTGCGCCAGCCACTGTAATGGCCTCTGGTGAGCCAGAGGCGAACCGGCTCCATCCACGCCGGGAAAGCGTGCCCGCTGAGAGGGGGCTGCAAGGACACGTGCATGTGGGGTGAGCCGGAGTGACAATGAGCAAGGTGAAAGCAGAGGTCAAGCGGGGTTCCTGGGGGAAGACAGTGTCAGATTAGGGTTGCTTCTTCAGAACTCCCCACGCGGCTGTGTCAGGTGAGAGGCCTGTGAGGGTTAGGTGAGAGAGAGCTCCTTCCGGCCCTCAGAACTGACAGCGTGAGACAGGAGACGGCTCATTTAGCTGGTCCCAGGGACTCTTCCTCTCAGCTGTAACTGAAGCCACCCAGCATTCACCTCTAGGTCTGCTGCTTGGGGATTGCCCAGATTCCTCTCTGCTGGAGGAAGAGGTTCATTTGTCCCATGGCAGTAAGTTCCTTGTGCCTGTCTTTTTAGTTACCGTCCTGGTCTTCTGAGCTTATAAAGGGGTTCTCTTGCCAAAATCCTAAAATTCACAGGATTAAAGCCAAATAATGGTGAAATCTGTTAGGATGCCCCTTCATCCCCATGCAGGGTTTCCTCATAGAACTTCAGAGTTCTAAGATGATACAAATGTTCATAATTAATTGAACTGAGACCGTTCTTCAGTCAGTCACTCAACCCAGATTTTGTTGGCTGCACGACACCAAGTTCTGGTTTAGGCACAGAGGGTTCCACAGTAAACAGGAGTCCAGGTCCTTACACCTAGAGTTCACAGCCTGGTAAAGAAGAGGAACAAATGAGCAAACAGTTCATTTGTGGCGATATGTACTTTCATAGGACAAGTTCAGAGTTCAAAAGTTCAAACCAGATGTCAGGGAAGACTTCCGGGAAAATATATCTAAGCTTGGACCTGAAGCAGCAGGATAACCCAGTGAAGATGCCACAGAACCAAGATGATGGAGGAAGGGAGTGATGAAGAATGTTCCAGTTGACTGACTAGCATTTGAGACCGTGAGGGACAAAGGATCAGAGGAACCGGATGTCTGGCACAGCTGAGACCCGCAGTGGCAGGGAGGCTCGTGGGAGACAGGGCTGCGGTGGAGACAGCGGCCCAGTCGGAACAGCTAACTGACCACGTTAGTGGTTTTATGTCACTGAGCATCGAGGACCCAGGGAAGGGACATAGTCAGGCCTGTGGTTCAGAGAGGTGGCTCAGGATCCTGTGCGGGAGAATGGATTGGTGTGGAGCGACACAGTAGGCAGGGAGACTAGCTGGGGGTTTGTGTAGGACTCTGTGAGTCTTCTTAGATTTGGGGATAATCCTCTCCTTCAGTACCCAGATCTAAATAGCATAAAATGAACCCCGACCCCACATAATTCAGACTAGGTTTCCTGCTCTGACTCAGTTCTTGTCCCCTCTTTCCCTGACCACTCTCCTAGCTGACAGTCTCTCCTGAAGCTGCTTTGCCCCAAACATTTGATCCAGTTCCTCAGCCTTCATTTCCCTAAGGAAAAAACGAATGCAAGGCTGTTGAGTGTAACAAACCTATACTGAAGTTTTTTTGGGGGTGGCGGGGAGGCAGAATTGCCACAAAGAACAGCAAGCATTTTAACATTTTTGTTTTATCTTAATGTTTATCAGTGGGGCGCCTGGGTGGCTCAGTCGATTAAGCGTCTGACTCTTGATTTCAGCTCAGGTCATGATCTCCAGGTCATGGGATCCAGCCCTGCATCAGGCTCCACTCTCAGCGGGGAGTCTGCTTAAGATTCTCCCTCTCCCTCTCCGCTCCTCCCCCCACTTGTGCTCGCATGCGCTTTCTCCCTCTCTCTCTTAAAAAAAAAAAAAAAACAACTTTGTGTTAATGTTTATCAGCTGTTACAGGATATATCTTACTGGCCTCTTTAATCTTAGGCCTCAGCCTGCTGCCATTTCTGGGACCCACGCTGAGTTTGGGGGATCTTCTTCACTGTTCTCTCTTCTTCTCTCCCATACCTCCTCCTTTTCCAGCTACCAGCAGGCAACTCCCAGTTCCTTTATCATGTACAATAATTTCATTTCCTTTGGTCTCAGCTTTCCCCAACCTTATCTTTCATAAGCAAAATTATATAAAATAACAGTGTACTTATATAAATGAAGAAACCATGTAGCCCACCCAGATCTACACTTTCAGCAACTCAGAGAACAAAGACAGACGCTATTGGTGGAGCGATTTGTGCCATCTTTCCTGTGTTTTTTTTCTGC